CTAATCTGTCTGCCTCATCTAGCGTCAAGTATCTGCAAGAAGCAACAAGTTGGTGAGCACACACAAATTTCAAATAAAACAGAATCTGCAAGAATCATAAAATGTTTTACATATACAATATAACTTATATTCACACAACATATCTTTTCCTCTAAATATGTGAATACAAGTAACTGTAGCAGCAGGTAGGCACAGAATAGAACAACATAATACGTGGAACAACCACCAACATAGCAGCAAACAAACATGCACGAACTAATAATGAAGGCCTATGACTCCAAATGGTGGACTAATCAGAAGTCAGTAAAAGTAATGAGTAGTTGGTTTTGAATTTACTTTTCTAAGCAACAGAACATTTTCAAATATATAAAACAAAATGGGGCAAAAGTTCATACTTGCCCTTCGCTTTTTCATCAAATACTTATTTTATTTAGCAGATATCCCATCCAGTTGAACACTCCCTATTTCTTTCATGGGTTATTTTAAGTTAACAGCAGAACATATGAGCAACATTCCAGATAAATATCAACTAGGAAGTGTTGGTCCTAACCTGCAATTGTCAAGGTTCATTTTCTTTTTCGCTAGCAGATCTTTCAGTCTTCCAGGTGTAGCAACAACTATATGAACTCCCCTCTTCACAACGTCAACTTGAGACTTCATATCAACTCCACCAATACATAGCAAAGGCCTCAAGTCAGGATAACCACTCTCCCTCAGAGGTTCTATAAACTCTTCTATAACTTCATATGTCTGTCTAGCAAGCTCTCTAGATGGACAAATAATCAAGCCAAAAGGTCCTTCCCCAGGGGCAATTGGCATCATAATTTCTTCTTGCAACGCAACCATGATAAGTGGCAACACAAAAACTAATGTCTTACCCGATCCTGTGAAAGCTATGCCTATCATATCCCGGCCTGATAAAATGACTGGAAGCCCCTGTACTTGAATCGGGGTTGGCTGAACGATCCCCTTTGCTCTGAGTTTCTTCAGAATTGGTTCAGGGAACCGCATGTCCTTGAAGTTCTTGATTGGTGGGGTAACATCATCCCCCTCTACGATGATATGCCACTGTTTACGAATGGCATCACAAGCTTTCTTTGAATTCCGCCTAATGGCTAATGGTGGCTTCCACCCTGTGCGCAAAGGCTCCGTATAAGTAATGCCTTTGGCTAGTTCCCTAACGGACATCAGCGTCTTCTTATCAGATAAATGCTCAATCATCTCCTTCTCTTGTTGAAACACTTGTTCGGCATGACTTATCTCAGGTTGCTCTTTCTTGAGCTGAGATGCCTTCACAAGCAAACTAGGCTTAGCCTCGACCAGCTTTATTTTCTCCTCTTCCTCTTCAAATGCTTCAGATTTCCCCTTGCGTTGAAGTATCTTTTGCGCCTCAATTACCCTGCGCTTTGCAACTGGTATATACTCAACATAATCATCTTCCTCCTCCATCTCCTACAAGCACAATACTGTATAATAAGAACAGCAGAAATGGAATATCAAAGGATGCAGGAATTGGAATATTGCATCTGTTGGCAAATTAATATGGCAATTGGCTGAAAAACAGGATTCTCTGTGGATTAAATGGGTTCACGGCTTATATATGAAGAATGATAGCAATATATGGATGCATAATCCCCCCATGGATTGTAGCTGGTATTGGAAGAAAATAAATTCTATCAAAAGTAGTATGATCAGTTGGTTTACTAATGGCAGATACACACTGAGTTCAACAGGAAGATACTCTATTTCCCTCAGCTATAATGCCCTTATAGGCATGAAAGAAAGGTGGAGAATTCGTGAACTAGTCTGGACAGCTTTTGCACAACCAAAACATAGATTCATTCTATGGCTAGCAGTGCGAAATAGGCTGCTAACAAAGGAAAGGCTCAGTCACTTGAACATTCCAGTAGATAGCCCTGCGTGCAGTTTATGCTCAACTCAAAGTACAGAAACTTCCTTACATTTGTTTGCAGATTGTGAATGGTCTGGTAAACTACGACGTGCATTGGGAGACTGGTTGGGTATCCAGCTACAAGCTGGAGAGGTGAAACTGGTGATGGAAACAATCAGGAAGAAGCATTGGCATAAGATCACAAAGAAGTTAATAGCAGCAGTCTGGGGAGCAATAATTTACCATACATGGAGGGCGAGGAACTGGATCATTTTCAGAAGTCAAAATGTACATATTGAGACAGTTATAGATCAGATAAAAAAAGAAATAGTAGATAGAGTAGAATTCCTTAGTGTGTCGAGAAAAGCTAGAAATAGGAATGCTATCTTACAAAGAATTCTATGTACTTAGTTTTATTCTGGAGGCCTAAAATTTCATACATTAACCTTCCTCGAAGGTAGATGTGTGTTTAGGTGCTCTTTAGGTGTATTGATGTTTACGTTGGCTGGTATGGTAATAATATTCACAGTTGTTACCAAAAAAAAAAAGAAGCGGAAATACAAATATCAAATCTCCCTTCCTAGTACAACGCACCAAAGTTGATGCAACAAAATGGGTGCAATCCTTAACATACAGAATCAGGAAAGCGTCAAAATTTGTTTGAAAAGCTAAAAAAGTACAACCTACCAAAGAACAGTATCTGCAGAGGACCCAAAATCAGAACAAACTACATAGTACATACAATATAATACACAATAAAATGTGCAAAACCCCATACAGTATTTAAAGCAATCAAAATCAAATATTCAGTAAAATCCCAAATTTGGGGTATCCCAAATGGTAAAAATCCAATCTTTCACTAACAAGATGAGAAAGCAAGAAGCTGCATACCATATTTGAGTGGTCTGAGCAATAGCGAAAAAAGTGGCTAATTGCAGAGAAGCAAATTTCAGATTCGGTAATTGCAGGGAACTAAATTCCGGCGACCGGACGGAGACAACTGGTCTGTTGCTGTGTTTAAGATACTACGAGGTCCGTTCTTCCGTGTGTGTTCAGACGTGTGTGTGCGCGTCCATGAATGAGAGGTGAGAATGAGCGTCTTTATTTTCGTTTGAGAGTGAGGGTCTGTCTATGAGAGAATAGGGGAATAAGGGGGCGGATACGATTTTCTAAAGGAGGGGGATCCGATTTCTATCAGGGGATTGGGAGATGGGGCGTTTTAGTAGGTGAGGGCAAAAGGAAACGACGTCGTTTGGATACAAAACGGCGTCGTTTGTAATTGACCCATTTGAACATAGCAGCCCTATTTTCCTTTCTTTGTTTTATTTTCAAAATTGACCACTTATCATAACAACACCTAATTTAAAACTAATTTGCAAAATTAACCTATTTAACTATTTTTCTAACAATTAACTATTTTATTTAACTAACAATGTATGTAAAGTGACTAATGTATTTTTCGTATTTTGGTGTTTCCAAATGCAATTAATCTAAAAATGTAAAGATTAAAATATTTTTGTATTTTTCTTAGGATTTAAAATGCTACTAAAAATGCCTCAAACATAAATACGCACAAAACAGATCAAGTAAAATATAGTAAAATTTCTAAAATTATATAAAATATTTAAAGCTATTTTTTGAAGTTTCCTGGGAGTAATTTCATATTATTGGGCAAAAATTAAGTGCTCACAACCATAATATTGATCCTTTTCTTTAAAATTATTTTTCCTTGAGATTTTCACATATCTTTCCTCCCTAGTATAATTCTTAGATTGTTTTATCATATTCTTTTTCTCTCATGCTATACCTTTAAACTTTAAATAGTTATTCATGTAATTTGTTTCCTCTACTATTGTTATATTGTTTGTAATTTTACGTTTACTTAACTAGGAAAAATAGTCTTTACGTCTCCAATTCTTATAATGTCTCTTATTTAACCTCAAACTCAAATGCTTCCTCCATCTCAATTTATATAATATTTTTTATTTTTCTCCGGAGTTTATTTGACTAAGTGTCAATCTAACAAAACATTACTATAACAACAATCCAATTATGCCTCAAACTCAAGTCAATTATTTATGTAAATTTTTATTATAGTTCGTGATATTTTCTCCTTGTTTTTATCTCTCAATTTCTTTATTATTTGTGATGTCACCTTTATTAAATACAGACTACTCGAAAATAGTCTTGTCCAATATGCACTTACATGACTCTATTCTAAAGCATTTTATGACTTGATTGATATCTCAGTTCAAATTTGATTAAAAAAAGAGTGATATAGGAGTACTAGCATTCTATGAAAAAATAGTCATTAGATAAAAGAAAATGAAGTAAATAGAATATTTCTTGTTATTGTAAAATTCCATTGATTTCTGATGGAAGAAAAAATAGAAAAGATAAAAGGTAAAATACCATCCATTCGTTTCAAGTTTTTTAACTTTTATCCAATTCATGTCAAATGCATCACGATTTCTTAAAAATCTCAGCTTTCCATCACTCTAGAGATCTTCACATTCCGCCATTTCCACAGTTAATAATAAACTCATAACCTCCATGGAAGTAGAAGTTGTCGAAGACGGGAATCAAAATGACTAAGATTCCTCCATTGATGAAACTCTTCAAGCTTCAGAGAGAAGGTTCTAGAAGAGAGAGGAATTGGGAAAATAAATCTCACCCTTTTTCTATTTCTGTAAAATGTGTATATATACACGTGCGTAAAGAATAAGGAAAAAATGCTGAAGTGCCTAATTACAAAATTACCACTATTACTAACTCCACCACTCTATTAGTACTACACAGCTAATACGCACATAAATATAATCATTCTCAAACACTCCCCCCCTCCCCCCCTCAAGTTGGAGGTGAGAAGTTCACTGCCAACTTGCTGAGAAGATCTGAATGTTTGACCCATGTGAGTGCCTTTGTCAAGATGTCAGCCAGTTGAGCGGAGGTGGAAATGTGATGCAGTTCAATTAGCCCCTCTTGTATCTTGTCCCGGATAAAGTGGCAATCCACTTCGACATGCTTTGTCCTTTCATGAAATACAGGGTTTCTTGCAATATATACAGCTGCTTAACTGTCACAGAACACAGTTATGGGATTGGCACACATGACTGTCAATTATTCGAGCAACCTCTTCACCCATTCCAATTCACCAACAACCTTCCTGATTGACCTATATTCTGCTTCTGCAGAAGACAATGAAACAATAGTTTGTTTCTTTGACTTTCAACTGATAGGGCGATCCCCAAGTAGCACAATGTACCCACTCACAGACTTTCTTGAATCAGGGCAAGCAGCTCAATCTGAGTCACAGTACGCACTGATAGTATAGTTAGGATCATTGGATAGAAAAATTTCCAAAGTAGGATCTTTCTTCAAGTATCTGAGAACATGTATAGAAGCCTTTAGATGGGGTTCTCTTGGTACATGCATAAACTGGCTCAAGTGTTGAACATTATAGACTATGTCCAATCTAGTATTTGTCAGAAAGTTTAGTTTTCCAACTAGTTTCCTGTAATACCCTGGATCAGATAGTAAGGCTCCATCTTCACTCCTCAGTTTGATAGTAGAGTCAAGTGGAGAGCTAACAGGAGAGTATGTCAAGCAATCATACTCCTTTAGTAGATCCATAGTAAACTTTCTCTGGCAAATTAGTACTCCATCTGTCTTATACAATATTTCTAGCCCCAAGAAGTAATGTAACTTCCCAAGATCCTTTATCTTGAATTGGTTATGTAGGAATGCCTTCAATTCTTTAATTTCCTCCAAATTGGTCCCAGTAATAATCACATCATCCACATATACGGCTACAAAGACTGCTGAAGTCCCCTGTTTCTTGTAGAATAATGAGTAATCACTAGTTGAGTGCTTGAACCCTATGGAATGCAGGGACTCTGTCAACTTATCATACCATTGCCTACTAGCCTGTTTTAGACCATATAATGACTTCCTAAGCCTGCATACTATATTTCTATTAGGTATTATCAGTCCTTTTGGAACCTCCATATACACTTTTTCATGTAGATCCCCATGAAGAAATGCATTATTTACATATAGTTGGTAGAGGTCTCACCCTCTCTTTACTGCAATGCTGATCAATATTCTGACTGTGGTCATCTTTATCACTAGTGAAATGATCTCTGTATAATCAATTCATGCTTCTTGTGTGTATCCTTTCACCACTAGCATTGCTTTGAATCTTTCCACACTTTCATCAGTCTTGTGCTTGATCTTGTATACCCACTTACATCCTATAGCTTTCTTACCTGCAGGTAGTTCAACTAAATCCCAAGTATGGTTGGCATATATAGCTTCAAATTCCTGTGTCATTACCACTTGCCATACAGGATTTATGGATGCCTCCTCATAAGAAGATGGCTCACAATCATGTGAAATATTTCTAAGCAATTGTTGACTTTCAGAATGTAAGACATTGAGAGAAACATGTTGTTTACTGTTACAAAATGTATTGAATGATGTGGGAGTAGTGTGATGTTGAGGTTCTGTGTCATGATGTTGGAGGGTTGGTAAAGAATATACATAAACTTTGAGGTGTGCAGGAGTTGTATGTGTTCTGCCTGATCTTCTAGGTTGTGAGGGATTTGTTTGTAAGAGATTTGGTTGAGAACTATTAGTCTCAATGCCTTAAGACTCAACATGCTGCATTTGTGTGGGTGGTTGAAAAACAGGGCTATTTTCTGGAGATATGTGTGAGCTTGGCATATCATGGTTAGATGCCATTGGATTAGGTAAAGAAAAGGGTGCAGCATTGTCTGATACATGGCTATTGGTGACAGAAATTGATGCATCCTTATCATACATGTTACAACTATTTGGAGTTCTAGAAGTAGAATGAGTACAAGGTGGATTAGAGTTCATCAGATGTAATATAGAAGGAAAGCTAGAATTTTCAGGTGAAACTGCAAAAGAAAAAATATTTTCATGGAACACTACATATCTAGATATATGTATTCTCTTTGTGGCCAAATATAGGACCTTGTAACCCTTTGTACCAAAAGGATAACCTACAAATACATGAGGTGTGGCTCTTGGTTCAAACTTATCTCTGTGAGGTTTTAGTACACAAGGATAGCATAGGCATCCAAAGCTTTTGAGCTATGAGTATTTAGGCCTTTTGTTATACAAGAGTTCAAAAGGACTTTTGTTATTCAGAATAGTTGATGAAAGCCTATTTATTAGATAGGTGGTTGTTAGAATACACTCCCCTCAGTACCTTATAGGCAGTTTGGACTGGTAAAGTAGGGCCCTTGCTATCTCAAGCAGGTATTTGTGTTTTCTTTCTACCACACCATTTTGTTGTGGTGTGTATGGACAAGTTTTCTGATGTACTATGCCCTTTTCTTGGAAATATGTCATGGTTTCATTGTTGACAAATTCAAGACCATTATCAGATCTAATGGTTTTAACTGAGGTGCCAAACTGGTTTTCAATTATGGATAGAAATCCTTTAATAGCATGAAAAGTGTTGCTTTTGCAGCTTAAGAGGTGAGTCCAGGTTGACCTGCTAAAATCATCAACCATGGTAAGGAAATATTTGTAGTTATCATGTGTGGATATGTGGTAGGGGACCCATAAATCTACATGGAGTAGTTCAAATATTTTGATGGATGACGTGGTTCTTTCAGGGAATGGAAACCTTGTTTGTCTAGCCATAGAGCATATTGAACAAATGAAGGGTTGTTTGGGAGCAAAATTGACTGGTATAGTAGATATTTTCCTCATTTTTACAAAGGGTACATGACCTAGCCTATTGTGCCACAAGTAGTCAACATTATTTCCAGAAGATGTAGAGCATACAAGAGAAGAACTCACACTAAAAGGATAAGTTTTATTGCATGAATGGATAGTATTTACATTGTTCAATGGACAGGATGACTCATTTACAGTTGACAATGAATGAAATGGATGAGTTTGATCATTTTTCTTACTAACATTGTTGTCAGGAATGGAAAAACATGAATGGGGCAAACCAGAAATTGAAGTAGCAGATGTACTAGAATCTGAACAACTATGACACTTCGAAAAGAAAAAATACAATCCACTTCTTGCATTACCAATCTCCAGAGGCCTCTTTATTGAAGGGGCCTACATCAGACAAAGGTATTTGTTGAAGTTAACCATGCAATCAAGGTGCACTGTTAATGAGTGGATTGAAATGAGATTGTATTTAAAACTAGGTACGTACATGACTCTGACTAAAGTTAGTTTAGGACTAAGGGGAGCATCACCAATTTCTGTCACTTTTACCTTATATCCATTAGGTAAGGTCACAAGAAAAGGATAAGGTAGGGTTATAATATTAGTGAGGAAAGACTTTCTATATGTCATATGGTTTGAAGCTCCACTGTCTAAAATCCATAAGTCAGCAATTGAATTTGAACATTTACATGTAGTTGTTTCAGCTATCTCTTTATAAGTACAGCAAGCTAGAATACCTGCAAAGTTCACAGCTTCACTGGTGATTATGTTTGGATTTTCCCCTGCAGTATTGACTTTGAAGTTCTCCAGCAAATTTAGCAATTGGTTGTATTGTTCCCTCGTCAGGTTCTGAAGTTTTTGGTTGTGATTCTTATTGTCAGTATCTTCACCATTGCAAGTTTGGATTTCTTCACACTAACCATGAACATTTGCAGCAGATCCTGTATTTCTACCTTTTGTAAACTTGAAGTCTTGTAGAAATCTATGTATCCTATAGCACTTCTCCCTGGTATGCCCCGGCTTTTTGCAGTAGTCACAGTACAATTTAGACCTATTGGGAGATAAATTAGGTCTGTACGAGTTCTGTCCTGTAGTATTAGCTTGTGGAGTGTAATTGGTTCTGAATCTGATATTTCATGGTCCATTTACATTCAAGGAGGTGGATTCCATGGCTAGGCGACCACTTGGTTTAATTTCTCTCTGTTTTTCCTCCTGAATAAGGATGGAAAAGGCATATACAATACTAGGTAGGGGATTCATCATTAGAATACTTCCCCTAACAACTGTGTAGACTTCATTAAGTCCCATTAGGAATTGAATTAATCTTCGATCTTGCTCTGCTTTGCACATGTTTGCTTTGGCACCACAAGTGCACTGACAGCCATATTGGGCGTGTGCATTTAAGGTATTGAGTTCCTCCCAGAGTTTCTTTATCTTCGTGTAATATCCGGTTATATCTAGGGTTCCTTGATTTAGGTCATTGATTTCCTTTTGCAATTGGTAAAGTTTTACTCCATTTGTTTGGTCATACTTGTCCTCAAGCTCTTGCCATAGGTCTTTTGCATCATTCACGTATTTTAATCCATCAGCTAAATCCTTTGAGAGTGAATTCAGAATCCACGAAGTTACCGTATCATCGCATCATGCCCATTGATCGTAGGTCGCTTCTCTAGCATTAGGATTTTTGCACTTTCCTGTGATGAATGTAACTTTGTTCTTCACAGAGAGAGCTTTGAGAATGCCTCTTCTCCAGGATCTATAGCCGGTGCCGTCAAACACCACCGGTACTAGCACAGTCCCAGCACTTTTCGATGGGTACATGTATAACGGGTTGGTTGAATCTAAAATTGTGGTAGTATCATTGGTATCTTTGTCTCCAGCCATGAATTGATGTAGAAAATATTAGGAATTTGAGTCGATTGAGGTTTGAAAGTGTATGAACCAGTGATTTCTAGGAGAAATTGCGAATTGAAAAACTTCTGATTTGCGATTTCAAATCGGGTGAACACGATGAAGAAGAAATTGAATCACAGACTAGACATAGATCGAAGGTTGTGAACCTTGCTCTGATACCATGTCGAAGACGGGAATCAAAATAACTGAGATTCAAGTCAAGCTCCGTTTACCAAACGTCGTTTCTCACCAACGTGTCTCCTCAATTCTTTCACCTTACCACCTCAAAACCCACGCCCAGGAAAACATCTTCTTCGATGGTCCAACTCCGAACTCTCATCCAAATTCGTCGTCCTCCGCCTCCGCTTCTACTATCTTGATGCTCAATGCATTGTCTCCTTCAAGGCTAAACCCGTCATTTCAAATGGTATAAGTCATATTAAAGAAGATGAAGAACTATTGACCTTTATATTGGCCGCGCGTGTGTTTTAGACCCCTGGCGGCTTTTATTGATTAATTCTTCGCGGGTGATTCAAAGGGTGAAAGATGAGTATGGAATTGGGGAAAATCAGGGTTTGATTTGTTTAGGTGGGTTTCGGAATGTGAGAGCGGTGTATGAGTGGAAAGGATTGAAATTGGAGCTTCACGAAATGCATTATGAATTTGGAATGAATTATGAGATTGAATGTGAGAGTTCGGATCTGGAAAGAGCCAGGTATTTGCTAGAGAAACTTTTGAAGAGCCATGGTATTGAGTATTCCTACTCTACTGTTTCTAAATTTGCCATTTTTCGCTCTGGAAAATTGCCTCAGTAAGTCATAGTACAATGTTATGTAGCATCCTTAGAAACACTATATTGCGATTGATGTACTTAAATTTATTCGAAGAAAAATTTAGACTTCTCAAAAGCTAATGGGTTTAGAGTTCAGTTCCGGAAAGATTATTCAATTTTTTTTAATGGAGAACGTTGACCATGATTAGCACACGAATCATTGTTATTAGGAGTTAGGACTCTCGTAGTGAGATTATATTTAGATGGCTTTAAGAGATATTGTGCAAAAGCTGATAATATGCTATAATCTGGTAGCCTTGACATATAGAATTATTGTTGGAAAAATTAACCCCACAGAAATAATATTCATGGTGTACGACTATAATAAATGCGGATTACTAAAATACTATAACCAACGGTAATAATAAGAGAAACAAGGACACCGAGATTTTTACGTGGAAAACCCTTCTGAATCAGGAAAAATCACGTTCCGAGAGGAGCAACTGATTTCACTATAGCAAGGATTTTATAATTTGTGGTACCGAGTAATATACTCCAAGACCAATGAACACTCAAAAGAAATAACCCTCTTTTGATTTTTCCACCTCACTACAATACCGCTCAAACTCTCTATATTTTTTCTCACAAAGTATTTAGCTTCTTACTCTATAAATCACTCTCTTTCTCTTTGTTTTGGTGTGTTTACAAATAAAGGTAGATGCACCTATTTATAGTTGAAGAATATCCATATTGATGTATGTAATGACATCAATATAGGGGTGTTCAAAATCGAACCGAAACCGAAAATCGAACCGAAACCGAAGCTTAATGGCTTATTGATATCGGTTTAACGGTTTAACGGACGGGGAACGGATTGAATTTTTTTATTAATGGCTTATCAGTTTGGGGATGGATTATTTAATTTTCTTAATGGATAATCCGTTAACCCGTCAAAAATAACTTGTTTTAAGGATTTGGACATATATAGACTTTCTAGTCTTTTCCAAATATCACATGCACTATTTTCATCCACGACATTATTGAGTACTTCACCGGACAAGTGCAGTCTGATTGCACTAGTCGCCTTCTTATCGACATTGACTTCATGGTAAATATTTCACTAGAATATTTTGCCCTACCAAATTAATCTCGGAATCATATTAAATGTAGTATGATCTCACTTTTTCTTCTTATATGGTGGTTGATTCTCTTCTTCCTCGTCATCCTCATCATCATCCTCTTCATTGTACTCATCGTCGATTTCATCATATTGCTCATCTGAATCATCATCATGCCCTCCATTCCCATTTGCCCCAACATCATCTCCATTTGAAGCCTCTTCATCATCATCACCATAGGCCAAGCCAGAATTTGAAACTTGTGGGTTTGGTATTCTAATTCTTTTAAGTTATTGGGTTCTTAATCAATAATTTGTACATAATTCAATAATTTTTTAAGACAAATACAGAGTTTGGATAAAAGTTATTGGGTTCAACCGAACCCGTATCCGAAGGGCTAGCTCCGCCCCTGATCATCACTTCCTTCATCAAAATACTCATCATCATCGTCATCATCATCAGTGTTCTCATCATCTTCGTCTTCGTCATCATCATCCTCAGTTTTACTTGAATCCTTGGGTTCATTATCTGGTGCCGTAGCTCTTTTAATCTCACCAAAAGGAAACCTATAATGTGATTGAGTATCAAATGAACACTTCTCAAACTCTCAAACAGACAGACAAAAAGGAACATAAATTGAGCAGGGAAGATCAGAATTTTTCAGTACCTCCTCTCCACTCCAAGAAGGTCCGAGTACAAACATAGAAACTCACTCTGAAAAATGGCATCTGATTTAGCACTTATTTATCTATGAAAGGAAGCAAAACAGTAATAACAAGAAACACGAGGACAAGATCATACATTATATATTGACAAGGGTGGAGCTAGAGTATCAGGTACGTATTCAGATGAACCCTGTAGTTTTGCTTAGACCCTATATTTGTGTTAAGAAATCTATTAATATGTATAAATATTTAATTATGAATCCAATGACTAAGACAGGCTATGGATTCGGTGGTAAGTCGAACCCATAAACTTTAAATTCTAGCTCTGTTTGGTGTAACAAACTAGTCATGGAGGAGCAACTACCAAAACCATAAAGCAAGTTGACTCCCAACATTTATATCAAAAGCATAACATCATTAGACAACAACATATATTACTATTTTTCTACAGAAAGTGTTGCAACATAGTATTTGAAACAAAAGCACGCAGTCTAATGTGGATAGAAAATAGCTCCAACGACACAATCCAAGAAAAGAACTTTAAGTTTCCATCACGCGTGTGTCTCAAACTGAGCAAGAATTTGGGTACTGAAAGTAGGGTGAAAAAGAGATGGGAAATTCCAAGTGAGATTGTAGTTCATGGAAGCACAGAGAGTGAGAAATCTCCACTAAGAATTATTGTGAAGCCAGATTTGCTTCCGCGAATTAGGATTGCTCGGTGTATGAATGAGACTCCTAGGGATTCTGGACCTGCTAAAAGAATGATAGAGTTGATAGGAAATAAATTATTTTTCAGTAGTGATGAAGATAAGGAGCCATCTATCTGTCAAGTTCTAAGTTTTGCAGAGGAAGATGTTGAAGAGGAATAATATGTAATAAAGGGAGCTGCTAACTCTTTTCATGCTCATTGTAACTGGTTCACAAGCTCTTCACGCCCATTTTTTTCGTACGGCCTGTAGGTACAATGTGTATTTCTTTCAAGTTACATTATGTACTTTTAGTGGCGTACGCATGAGTTTTTGTAAGCGGTGTCACCATTTTAGACGTGAACAAATAAAAAAATTACTGTAATATTTAAAAAAACAATCAGAAAAAAAGAAATAACAAAACTTACAATGCAACATCCCTCCAATTTTAAAAATGTATTGTGCTAGTCAAGTAGTACAAAAGTATCCCTCCAATTTAAAAAATGTGTTGTGGTAGTCAAGTAATACAAAAGTATTAAAACATAGAAAGAAGCTACGCAGGTTCGAACTCACGGCCCTGCATAGATATCTTCTGACTTTGACCAGATAAGCTAGACGCCTTTGTGTGACAAGTGGTGTCACTTATTTCATTTTACCGTTTTCTTGTTTTTTCATTTGAATTATATACGAATAATTAGTAAATATTTTCGATGAAGCGGTGTCACGTGACACTGCTTGGGCAAAGGTAGATCCGCACTTTGAATAACTCATGACATGTTTCATGTTGTCGTGTGGCATTGGACGTTAAAATACCGCGAGATAAAATAATCAAGTTGTACCCGCAAGAACTATGAGCATATTTGAAACTTAATTGTGAATTGTGTTCGAGGAAGAAGAATAATAGTATGGGTTGTATTGAAAGAGAGCATTTGGGCTGAATTGATTGAAGAGGAAAGACATAGATGAAGAGAGAGAAGAAAGAGAGAATTCTCTATTGTGTTATTCAAAAAATATAAGCCACTCTCTATACACATGTATATCCATTATTATTTATACTACCTACTCACTTAATACAATTAATTAGCTTAACTACTCAACTAACCATAAAACTAAGTCTAACTAACTCTAACGAACATGTACAACTCCCACAACCTATGTACAAGTATTGCTACTACTATTTCTTTCAACACTCCCCCTCAAGTTGGGTGATGAAAAATGCTAATCATCCCCAACTTGCAAACCATCTCACTATGTAGCTATTTTCCAAGTGCCTTGGTTAGTATATCTGCAATTTGATCCTTGCTGGGAACATAAGTTGTTTTAATCATGCCCTGTTATAGCTTCTCTTGGATAAAGTGGCAATCAATCTCTATGTGCTTTGTGCGCTCGTGATACATTAGATTTGAAGCAATCTGTATGGCTGCCTTGTTGTCACAATACAACTCCATAGGTAAATCAACTTGCATTCCTAACTCCTCCAGCAACCCATGTATCCAAGTTAGCTCAGCCACAATATTGGCCATGCTTCTGTACTAAGCTTCTGCTGAGCTTCTTGAAACTATGCTCTGTTTCTTGGATTTCCAAGAGATCACGGAGTCTCCAAGTTTTATGCAAAAGCCTGTAACAGACTTCCTAGTCACTGAGCAGGATGCCCTGCATCACAGAATGCAGTTACCTTCCTACTATGTTTGCTACTCATCAACAAACCTTATCTTGGATAATTATTGATATATCTCACTACCCTCAAATCTGTATCATAATGGGACTGTTTTGGTGCATTCATAAACTGACTGAGAACTTGGACTGCATATGAAATGTCTGGCCTTGTGATTGCCAAATACAAGAGTCTCCCAATAAGTCTCTGATATACTATGATGTCTTCAAGTTCTGTGTCATGTTCTTGTATACTAAAAAGTTTATCATATTCCACACTAGTAAGTTTCATGTTCTGATCCAAAGGGGAAATGCTTGATTTAGCTCCTCCTAGGCCACATTCTAACACAAGCTCTAAGGCATACTTCCTTTGGTTCATGAGGATTCCCCTGTGTTACCTTGCAAACTCAATACCAAGGAAAAACTTTAGTTTTCCCAAATCTTTCATCTTGAAATTGTGATTCAATATATCTTTGGCTTCTTGAATCAGAACCTTATCATTTCCTGTGATCAAAAGGTCATCAACATAAACCAATATAATCACTATGGCACTCCCAGTTCTCTTAGTGAATAGTGAATGATCTAGTTTGCTTTGGTTGAAACCAGACTCTATGAGAGCTGAGGTGAGCTTTGAATTCCATTGTCTGCTAGCCTTTTTTAAGCCATAGAGGGATTTGAGTAGTCTACACACTCTAGTCTCCCCCTGAATACCAAACCCTTGAGGCAATGACATGTAAACTTTTTCTGAAAGGTCACCCTGGAGGAAAGCATTATACACATCCATCTTAAGCAAAGGCCAATCATACTGAGCAGCTAGAGCAACAACACTCCTGACTGTGACCATCTTCACCACATGTGAGAAGGTCTCATGGTAATCCAAACTCTTTTGTTGTGTGAACCCCTTGGCAACTAATCGAGCTTTGTATCTTTCCATAGTCCCATCAACCTTGTACTTCACCTTATAAACCCATTTGCAGCCAATTGGAGTCTTGCCTGCAGGTAAATCTACCAACTCCCAGGTGTTATTATCAGTGAGGGCCTGAACCTCAAGTTCCATAGCCTGTACCCAATTGCTGTCTTTAACAACTTGTTCAAAAGTTATAGGTTCAATAATGGAAGAATAAGAAGTTAGACAGGCTTGATAAGAAAGTGATAAAGAAGAGTAACTGGGGGAGGAAGAAATGGGATAAGGAGTGGAAGTGAGTTTGACCTGATGCACATAATCAGTTAGCCACAAGGGAGGATTAGATGTCCTAGCAGACTTCCTCAGAATGACATCTGAAATGTGAGTGGTCTGTTGCTCGATGGGAGAAGGTGGTGAAGGAGGTGAGGGAGTAAGGTTAGGTTGCATAACATGAGATGGAGGTGATTGTGAACTAGAGGGTTCTGGTTGTGCTATGAGGGGTTCTGGAGTTAGAACAGAAGTTGGAGGTAAACTGGGAGGTACATCATCCCTGGTAGGAAATGTATCATCATAAGAAGGAATAGAAGCTGGACTAGGAAATGTAAGAGTTGAGTTAGGGAAATGTGACGGTAGAAATGTGGACTTGGGATGTCTAAAAGGAAATATGGTTTCTCTAAAAGAGACATCTCTGCTGACAAAAAAGGTTCCTGATGAAATATTGTATAGTTTATACCCTTTTTGAGTCTCTGAATAACCCATGAAGATTGCAGGAATGGCTTTAGAAGAGAACTTGTTTGTGAAGCATGGTGTGGTTGCATAACACAAACAACCAAATACCTTAAGGTGAGTAAGGGAAGGTGGTAGACCATGAAACAACTCATAAGGAGATTTCCCTGAAAGAACTATAGAAGGTAATCTATTAATGACGAAGGCAACTGTAAGAACACATTCTCCCCAGAATTTCAAAGGGGCATGGGCTTGAAACCTAAGGGCTCTAGCCATTCAAGTAGATGCTTATGCTTTCGTTCAGCCACTCCATTTTATTGTAGAGTGTGCCCCCAAGAACTTTGATGTACAATTCCAAGAGAAGTGAAAAGAGTTACACATTAAGCATTGAAAAATTCAAGACCATTATCAGATATAATGATCTTGATAGAAGCAGAAAATTAATTCTTAACAAGTGCAATAAAAGACTTGATTAACAAGAACACATTACTTTTCATTCTCATCAAGTAGATCCAAGTCATCCTAGAGTAATCGTCTACAATGGTAAGAAAGTATCTATATCCATTATAAGTACATTATCTATATGGACCCCACACATCCATATGTACAAGTTCACAAGGGGTTACAATTTTATTATGACTAGTAGGAAAGGGGGAGCCTAGTTTGCCTTGCTAAAGGACAGATATTGCAAGACAACTGTTCATTATTCAACTCATGGTGTTTTAGAAAGTGAATTTTCTGTAGAACTGCTACTGTAGCATGGCCAAGTCTTTGTTATCATATAGAGCAGTGATCTGAATATTTTGATGGAGGGCTAGCAAAGGTTGGAGTAGAGGCTGGAACTGTAATAGAAGAAGAAGCAGTACAGGAATTTGTAGTAGGTATTATTGTATTGAATGCTATGGCTGATGACTGTTCAGGTGCTTTGACAGGTGATGGCTTCTTGGGAGGTTGAAGTATGTAGAGGACATCCTTCTCCTTACCAATACCCCTCACCTTGTCAGTGCAAAGGTCCTAAAAAATGCAAAATTCACGGAAGAATAATGCACAACATTTCAGCTCTTTAGTAAGTTTGGATACTGATAACAGGTTGTATTTTAAATTTGGAACATAAAGCACATTACACAATTCAAGATCATCAGAAAGAGTTAGTGACCATATATGTGTTACAGATGTAATATTTCCATTTGGTAGATAAACTTTGCTAGTATTGGGAAACACAAGAGCAGATTGATTTAAAAAGTCCAGGCTACAAACCATATGGTTCGAGGCCCCAATGTCAATTATCCAGGAATTACGTTCAGAACCTGCAAGCAAATAAGTATCAAGGAATTCTTTTATACCTGCCATGTTAACCTTGGCTTCTGCAACTGCTAGTTTATGGCTGATCAACTTCAAAAGCTGATTATATTGCTCTGAGGTGAACATTGGCATGCTGCTAATCCCTGATGATCCACTTGCTTCTGGTTCTTCAACATGACTGACATTGTTAGCTGAATGTCCTTTGTTACCTCCTGAACTTTGTGGTTTATCATAGGTTCTCCTTTTGTTGAATTTGTGATTGGGTGGATATCCCACCAACTTGTAGCAGTTTTCTCTCCTGTGTCCTTTCATATTACAGTAATCACAGTATTGTCCATTGTTTCTTTTGAACTTGTTGTTTTGTGTGACAGCTAGAGTTGTGGGATCATTCAAGTTTATCTGTTGTAGTGTTGGTGTAAGTTGTGATATCATGTTGGACTGAATCCTTTGGCTTTCATCCTGCATTATCATATTGTAGGCTTGATTGAGGACTGGTATACTACAAGATATCAGACTTTTAGTGGCGACCAAAGTCGCTACTAAAGACCACAAAGTCGCCACTAAAGACATATAGTAGCGACCTTAGGGTTGCTGCAAGTACGACCATAACTAAATATTTTTTGGGACGACTTCTTATGGTCGCCATTTGTAGCGACTATAGTCGCGACAAATAGAAAACAAAAACGCTACAAAAAGAGTTCCACAAAATAAATTTTTGATAAGTTGCCACTGAAGGGCCACATTTAGTGGAGCCTTAGTCGCCGCTAAAACCTTTATACTTTCTGTGGCAACTCCGGTCGCCACCAATAGCTTGAGATTTAGTGGCGACCTTGATCGCCATAAATTCTAATTCTTTCTGTGACAAGGATCTGTCGCCACTAAAACCTATTTTTTCAACTACAATAGCCAAAATTCTAATATATTTCCATCAATTGATACCAATATTGAAAGTACCCAAAATTATTCAACAACCAATAAAAACATATCTCAAGTCAGAATATTATAAATACTTTCATGAATAATAAGTTAGTTAAATATATACAGAATACTTCATTGTTCATTGTCATTCTACACTTATACATACGAAAAAAAATCAAAAATAGAAGAATAAATGTCTTCAAACTCCTCCTTGGTCAACGCCTCTTGTGGTTGTTTAAGAACCTTATCCCTGTTAATAAGGAAAAATAACACATTATCACTTTGAAATAAAAAATACAAGCTAACAATGATTAACAATTCAACAAATTAAACTAATGAAAGGACGAATTCCGCAGAGGCAAAACATTTACCTTAAGAAAGCCCTCAGTTTTCCACAACCAAACTCTAGTCTGAAAGAAGAAATTGTAAGGACAAGCTTATGGACTAAATCATATGATTAGTAGTAACCATAAAACATCAAGAACCAAGCCAAAGAAAGGGCTACACTCTACTCATCCTTCAGCCAACTCCAAAACCATCAACTTACATAGAGAAATTTTCAATTCTTTAAAACATCATCTCAATCCGTACAAATACTGCACCAAGACAAACCAGCAGAAGGAAATCTGCTTTAAAACTTCATTTTAGCCCTTTAGAATCAAACCATTATCATGTAATTTACTTATCTTTTTTTAGGTTGGTTACCTTGTCCTTTTCTCACAGCTGGAAGTGTGGAAGCAAAGGAAAATGCAGCAGCAACCATCTTTAGTTTGTCACTTAATAATAATAATAATAATAATTAACAATATAGTAAAAATATCGAATAAATTTTAATATTAAAGATATTGCAATATGTTTAAAGATGTTAAGCAATGAAAAAGAAAAATACTTTAATTAATATTGTTCAATTTACAATAGTCGTCATGGAGGTTCCGCCTGTGTATCCCGGACCTGCATCGCTAGAGCTACTGTTGCTACAGGCCAAACATAGGTCTTCGTACATATGGGAGGGGCAGTGTTTGGCCCAGACATTCCACGCTAGACGGATAGACGATATGTGGGACTTTCTTAGGGCCCACCCACTCCATCCCCGTATAGTCAGATGCCTTCGAGATACGAGTTTCTATAGGATCATAGAGATCGGCTGGTTGCAGTTGGACTGGTCGTTGATCACAGCTATGATAGAGCGGTGACGACCGGAGACGTACACATTTCATTTACCCATTGGCGAGGCTACCATCATGCTTCAGGACATGGAGGTTCTTTATGGGTTGCCGGTTGATGGACATCCTGTAGCTTACCCGCATGCTCTCACTGAATATACGGGATTGCAGTACCTGCAGATGTTGCATCGGCTCATCGGTTTCCAGCCAGCGGAGGAGGATGCATTAAGTGGGGCCAGTCCTTTCCAGTTGACGCTCGTCCGGCTACATCTGGAGGCGATGGATGCAGACATTACATATGATACACCGGATCTCCATATCGACTAGTACACGAGATTGTTGATGTTGCTTATATTTGGTGGGGTATTATTCCCGAACACTTCGAGAAACCTAGTCAGCTTGAGATTTCTTCATCATCTTGAGCGGCTAGATGATTTACCTGGTTACAGTTGGGGTGCAGCTTTTTTAGGTTACTTGTTTAGGTAGATGTGCCGGGCGAGCATGGGCACCTATCGAGACGTTGCCGGATTTTTGTCATTGCTACAGGTGAAAACATAGTCAATTATTTTCATTATTATAACATACATAGTAAGAATATACCTTAAATTTTACGTCCACATTGTATATTGGGTTTGATCCTGGGAGCGGTTCCTGTAGTTGCAACCACCTCTACCACGCATCGTTTCGGATGCACCACCTCCACCGTTTCTCTCTTTAGCTAGGAGGTGGGTTAATAGGCGAGGCTACGGATGCGAGGTCGAGGCTCGACATAATCTCCCCTATTACAGGGATTTGTTGGATTTACTGGAGGGGGCGCATGTACATGTATACTTAAGTTTACTTGGCCTGACTTTATATGTGTTGCGTTTACTCAAGATTCATATTTTTACTTAATAGTTCATATGGAGGCCATACAACGACGAACTAATAGCTGGTTTGCCTGATTATTGCTCGAGCGTCCGAGTTATGTAGAGCTCTTCCGTCCCATTGATGTATCTCGATATTGTCGAGCATCATGCCACTAAGCGAGTCCTTCGCCAGTTTGGTCGACTGCAGCTTGTACCTACTCCGCCCGCTTGGCTTAGGACACATTAACAGCGGGATGATCGTTCAGGGTTGACCAGACATACGTGGCCTGGCTAGAGGTGCAGATTGAGATTTGGGACTGTCGGCATGACCTAATTCCACCACCCCATCCACTTGAGCATACAAATGGTGAGCATGAGTATATAGGATGGTACCGCAGCATTACCCGACTTTTTGTCGGAAATCCCGTTCATAGCGCTGGTGATCGGTACATTCCATACGCCGGGAGGCATGAGGCACTGATATGTTATACTTACTTATAACGTTAACCTAGCGTTCTGTAATTAATATTTTACATGTTGTGCAGGCTATTGGCTTACATCTGTTCTACCAGTTAGGACTGCAGATGCAGCAGCATACCGGTGAGGGAGCGGCAGTTTTGCACGAGTATGGCCGCCAAGTTACAGATCTGGCTTCCCGGACATTGAGGCTAGCCCGAGATGACGAGCGCTTAGGACACGAGGCTGATTATAGGTCACCAGAGTAGTACCATCGTGGGCACGCAGTGGAGCCTGAACGTGGTCGACGTGGCAGGCGTGCCCAGAGAGAAAGAGGTGTCCCACGAGGTCGTGGGGGTCGGCGAGGACGTGGTCCCCAGCAAGGGGGTGTTGAGCCACCTGTTGAGGATTTTGGAGACCACCCTGAGCCAGACGATGCTCCTCATGATATGCCATCATTCAGCCTTCAGCTGACGCCAGGGACTTCGCAGGTGACCCCGTCAGCTCCATTGTTGATCGCGGGCATGGCCATTACGCGACATGAGTGGGATCAGTATTTTTCTGGTCCCCCAGAGCCATCGACGGTTGCTGATGATCGTCCGACACGAGATGTGCATAGTGGGCGCCGACTGAATTATGGGTCATCATCGAGGGATGTTGAGGATCTATCACAGGCGCATGTAGGGGGTGTTCATGGTTCGGTTTGGGTCGATTTTTCCCTAAAAGGAAACCAAACCAAGTAAGTCGGTTTTTCAAATATTGGAACCAAATCAAACCAATTAAGTCAGTTTTTTATCGATTCGGTTTTTGTCGGTTTTTCGGGTTTTTCGATTATTTATCGATTTTTTTCTTAAATATGAGACATACACTACCAAACGCATATTCCGGCGACTACAGTTTCAACGTAACACTATCAAATCAATTGCTTTTTGAGAAATCTATCATTTACCAAGATATATTGATGATAATTGAATCAAATAGTGATGAATAATTTAAGTACTCAAGTAAAAATCAATAATTTTTAACATGAAATAAATTCTTGTACTTAACAAAATAAAACTACCAATCAAACTAGAATATAAAAGGCAAAGAATTAGATTATTATAATAGCAAAGAACTAGACTAAAAATACAAATGACTAATATGTACCATAAAATTTTAGATTTTTTTATATAAAAATATACATATATATAGGTGTAATAATAATTTAAATAGCTACTTTTATAGTCGGTTTGGTTTAATTTTTTTTTATTAAAACCAAAACCAAACCAAATTTTATCGATTTTTAAAATTTAAAACCAAAACCAAATCAAACCTTAAAAGTATCGATTTTATTGATCGGTTTGGTTCGATTTTCGGTTTGGTTCGATTTTTTAATTTTTTATGAATACCCCTAGGCACAGGTTTGTTTGTATTACTATAATTTTTTTTATTTCATTGATTAGTCATCAATATCTAAAGCGTTTTTTTTTAAAGACATCATCCTCGCCCGTCACGGAGGCCACTTTCGATCCTGACGTGCGTGAGACGGATGATTATATTCAGGAGCCCGCCGAGTCCATGGTAAGACCATTAATTTTTTTTAGCTAACACATACATTAGTAATATATATTTCATATACTAAAATATCTTATTATTCTGTAGGTTACTGCTGGACCGACGACCCCTTATACCGAGCGTGCCAGCCTTACCGACGATCATGCTGCATCGCATCCTCCGATAAAAAGGCGACGTGATGAGGATGATCCTGATAGTGTAGCCGGGCGGGATGGGATGCGTCTCAGGCCAGCTAATACTTTAAAGCATACAGGTTGTGAGACACATTGACATTTTTTATTATCTGTACATATGACATTCAGTATATAATAGCAACATTATTTATGTTTTACATTATTTGCGCATGTGTTTTTATTTCTCGGGTTATTTGTTAGTTTAATACTACAACACAAAATAAAAAACGACAACTTAACATAATTTAAATTCGGTACAATTAATGAAAATACATGACATGTAAAACATAAAGATAAAATACCATACTCAATACATTCATGTGTTTGTTTAGTCATTATCACCCATTATTCTGTGCTTCAACCACTTAAATTGCTCTTCCAACCTATTTTTTTCTTCTTCTCCCTTTTTTAGTTTCTCCTGTACTGCCGCAAGTTGTTATTGTAGTTTAAAGATCTGGAGTTCGTATTCACCTGTCATATTCCAAACATACTGCAAACATGATTTGTAGTATTCCTGGTTAATGGGTTCATCATACCATTCTTCAAATCTACATTAATTTCCGTCTTACCAATGAGGATTATAACACAATACTATTAGTTAACATGTTATATAAATAATAGTAACAAATATTTTTTCCAAAACAATAACTTACAAGTTGTTGACATATCTAGCGTCTGCGCCCCACATTACTATTTGACCAACATGGTTTCAAAATCGTATGTTTGTCACAATAATACCTTGGTACGTTATTGCGTCCAGACATTTCTTAATATGAGAAAAATGACTTGAAGGATATTTAACGAACAAATATTTCGGATGTTAACGAACAAATATTTAACGAACAAATATTTCAAAAGACTTGAAGGATTCTGAATGGATTTTTACAAAATTCTGAAACTCTTTAAATAAGGAAAAAATTGATATATAATGCCTTAAATATGCGCGCTATACCCAGTTGAATTATTGGTCTGTCAATTAAGTATAGAAGAATTATGAGTGAGCCCAACTTTTACGTATAGCGCGGTATTTCACCGCGTTATACCCTGTAGAATTACTGGTGTGTCAGTTAACTCTAGAAGAATTATTGGTGGGCCCAATAATTAAGTATTTCGCAGTTATTCACCGCGCTAAATCGTAACGGACAAACGTGCCGTTAAGGTATAGCGCGATAAATAACCGCGCTATACATATTATGGTGGCAAGTTTTTTTCCCACACCGGAGCTTCTTTTATCACCCAGTACGCTGCCGACACACTTAGAGACATCTGACGAAAGAAGTACACAACCGATACATTCATCTACCCACTGATGTAAACTGTCAGCTCCATCATTTTCATAAACAATTTCTTTGAGACGTTGTAGAAAAACAAAACCTACTTAAAATTGTAGTAGTCACTACTCGAGGATCTATTCAGATTACTTTCCTAATACGGATAGGAGATAAATACTTTCTCTATTTTATT